TATATATGAATGAAACAATTGGTATAAATAATCAAAGGAATGCATAATCGCGATTTTTTAAATATTTCTTATTTTTTGTTTCTTTTATATATTTTACTTATATCTTAAAATATATAATTCCATTGTAATATACATAATTGAGAGCAAATTAAAAATAAATTAAGTTTTTTTTTAACATCGTTGGTTTTTTTTATCTTTTCTTTTCATTAATAATAGTAAATATAACATTTTTGACATTCATTTTTGTAAATGTTAACTGACGTCCACGATAAATAACGATAAAGATGAACTTGTATAAAATGTGTTATTTTCTTTTCTTTTTATATATTACTTTAAAATGCATTGAGAATTATTATTTTTTTATTTTAAATGTACGTATTAGAATTTATATATTTAGCAATCTTCATAATTCATTCATATTTGTCTTTTATTTAATTTCTTATTCTTTTTTTAATTTTTGTTCTTCTTTATTATATTATAACAAATTGCACGTGATAATTGTATATTTCCAAAAATGGCAATTTTATCGAATTTTTCTATGAAAATTTTTTTTTTTTTGGCACATATATTACTGTACATACGTATATAATCGTTTCATGTTCCAACCAAACGTTTACTTGAAAAAATGATACCAATATAATATATCTCGAAAAATTCTACCATTTTTACTATTATTCATTTTTAAAGAAGTGAAAACAATTTTTTCAAAGATATATATACATGTATGTGTACACATATATATAACAAAATTTTCTATAATCTATGGATGCAGTATTAACAACAAAATCTATAAATACACATATTATCATTTATAATACTTTCTTAATAACATTCTTTTTAAATGTTGGAAGAAATCGAAAATGAAAAATGTTTAATTCAAAGATTTCATTTAAATATAAATATTGTTTTAAATTGAGAAATTATGCAGAAAATGAATTAGAAACTTTTCTCTCTGATTACTTACTAACGACATAGATAGAGGGAAAAAAACCAATTATTATTATTTTAATCGAAAGACATATCAACGAATAACACATTATACGTAAATATTATTTTCTTTTTTTTTTCTTTTATATATTTATATATATATATATTTTGTTTTAAATATTTTGTACGATTATTCTTTATGACTAATACACATAAATAGAGAAATTCAAATGTAAAAACGAGATAATATTTAATACGACTTATACATGAAGAATATCGTACGTTTCCTCTAATTTCGTGTGAGAAAATATATGTATAATATATTATCCGATAAATGTATATAAGTGCGTATATTCTTTTATCGTACGATAAACATCATAATTAAAAAACGCTAGATGGATTTTTCAATCATGATCCAGCACGATAATAATTAAATACAACGATATACGATATTTCTCTTGCTAATGTTAAATGTTATTTACAAAAGATGTACCACCCTATTAACAAATTTCTATCCTCCTTTTTAAAAAAAATAAATAAATAAATAATTGTACATCACATATTTTTTTTCTATTATTTTAAACCAAAAATAAATAAAGGAATATAAATTATCCTTTTTCTCTAAATTTCGTCAACTTCATCTCCCTACATAATATTTTTTTGAAAATATTTAAGCTGGAGAATCATAAAATTGCGACTCGTATATATAACATAGAAGAATTATTAGATAAATATAATAATTTCAACGTAAGAACGTTGACAAAGGGGATTGACTAAATGATTAAGATGATATTGACCGATCTGGATTATTAAGATCAGCCTTCCGCGAGAGGAGGCGTAACCCAACCATATTTCTCATGCGTTTTAACGAGATTTCGAAATGATTCTTCTGCAGATCGTCGATTAAATTCTTTGTTGGTCTTTGGTTTTCTTGCAACACGTCCCTACAAAAATTCAATTTATATTTAACATATTCAACAAAAAAATATATATTTATAAAGATAATAAAAATAAACTAACACGTACAGAATAATAAAAAATTTAGAAAGAAAGTTGTGAAAATAAATGTACCACAATCAAAAAATTATATATAAATAATTATAGTATCAAATAAATTATACAATCAATTTCAACGTGTTTAAAAATTTAATGAAATAAAAAGAAACAAAATGGAATAATACCATGTATCTTATCAATATATATTGGAAGTTTAAGTGCACACATGTGTAATGGTGTGGTGTGGTGTGGTGTGGTGTGGTGTGTGTGTGTGTGTGTGTGTGTGTTGAAGTAATACGTAGATTATTTTCTCACCTGTCCTTTAACGATACTAGCGGCAAACTGTGTGATAACAGCTTCTACAGTATATGCACTAGCCCATCCTCTAGGCGTTAAAAGTTCCATACAAATAGCCCCACCCTCCATGACAAATCCTTTCTCGATTCTCGGTGAGATAACTCTCATAAATGGTGGCGCGAAAGGAAAATTTTCTGGAAATACTACATGAAGAAGTATATAAGGTATCTCAAGTTCTCGCATGTCAGCAGCTAACTCGCTTTCTGGATCGATTTTATGAAGTCTCACGTGCCACTCAAAAAGATTGTCATTTACAAGCTCTGCGGTAAAAGTTGCATCTCGGCGGTGTTGAGTTCTTTGAATTTCGCTCAGTTCTTTCATCAAACGACGTAATCTTACTCCTTTTTCAGGAATTCCCATGTTACCCTAAAAAAATGTATTAATTAATAAATTATTTAATAAACAAATAAATAATACATTTTTTCAATTAATTTTTAAATCTTCAATTAACAATTGTAATATAATATGAACTAGCTGTACAAAAGTAAAACACTAAAATATGTATAACAAAATAAAACAAAAATTTTTAGCACCCTAAGAAAACTCTTAATCTTCATCTAATTCAAATATTTATATTATATTTGAATTGAAATGGATACCTGAGAAGAACTGGATGATTTCTTTGTTTTGAAAAAGCAACTACCATGTGCGGTATGACTCGTGCCTGGATTTTCAGGCATGGAACCATCAGACGGTGTAACAGCATCAGGCCGATGATGATGATGATGACGACCGAGTAATCGTCTCGAAGGAGAATTAGTTGTACCATCATTTCCACCTTCCTGTTCAGTAAGCTTCTCCGACGATCGAAATAATTTTCGAAAAGCAGCAACTACTTTTTCTTTCGATCTCGTAGACATGATTTGCGCGTCACCACGTTCTTCTTTAAATCCTTCAAATTTATTATCTCTATCTATCGTTGATTTAAAATATCTTATCCGATAATGGACCTAAAAACAAATCTAAACTAATACAAAATATATCACAACAAAATAAAAATCTTTAAAACAATATTAGAACAATTCAAAATTCTGTCAGAAATTGTAATTTAAAATCCGAGAATTAGTCGGCAATTAATATTTGATAATAAAATATAATTAACAAAATGGCTCATGCTTAATTAATTAATAACAAAGATAAGTGTAGACGGTAATTAGAGAACATCAATCTACAATAATAGAAATCTATTTTAAGATACAATAAAAGTAAAATTAATTTCTAAGATAAAAAAAATACCAAATAAGTAATTACCGTTTTTGTTAATATTATCTTCGTGGAACATGATGTGCGTAACAATTGGTATCTATTTTCTTGGTCACTAAAAATCTATTTTTTCAAACGAATCGCCGGTGAAGTTTATCAAACAACATCTCTTCTTTGTAACTTTGAAATTATTTACTCACTCACTTTGTTCTCCCTATGTAAAAGAGAGAAAGAGAAAGAATAAAAGAAAGAAGAAAGAAAGTATAAGAGATGTAGATTATGCGGAGTAGTAAATAACGCTACGTTTAGGAATGATACTGTGATGTATGCCGTATGTATATATGTATGTATGTGACATACGTGATACAGCGCAGTCTCCACCCTCATTGAACAGAGTAGGAGGCCTTGTTGAGATACGGATGAATGCTTGGAAGGGTTGACATAGTCGGTAATGCTGCTTCGTGCCAAAAGAAACGCCTTGACACCGGCGACTCCCCAATATCGATCCGCTTCGAGCGCACCTTCCCTGTAAACAACGAAAAAACAATTGAAATATCTATTTGATCTATTGCTATACATTCATTTGATTTTTTTTTATTTGTATGTGTACGTAAATCTTCTTTTAAATTTATTTATTATTGCATGCATGCACACACACACATATATATATATATATATATATACATATATATAATGTGTGTATGTGTGCGCTCGTGCGATATGTATACACATATATATTTCTTTGTATATGCAATACTTATTTTATATAAAAATAATTATAAGTAATTATAAACGGTTATTTTTTTAAATTAATCAGTTACTTTTACAATGTTATTAATATAATTTTGTTTTTGTTTTTTTTTATATATTATAAAAATATATATTTATGTGTTTAATATTAAAAATTGTTATCTTTCTTTTGTTTTATTATTTAGTTTTCCACGGCACTACAATATACGAGTTTAAATATCGATTAGAGAATAAGAATGTTAAAATGTAATTAATTAGATAAACGAATACAATAAAGCATGATATATACTGTATCCATGCCCATTTAAATTCTTCCCACAAATTAGGTTGATAATATAGTAAATGATCTTTATAATGCAATTCCCCTTGAATCGTTATCATATCTTCTTTGGAAAATCCTGATTGAGTAATTACATGGCTATTAGTGATCTCAGCTGAAACTAAATAATTCAATTTCAAAGATAAAACAAATTCATGAAAAAAGAGTTGTAATTTTGAATATTAAAAATTAAATATTATGCTTACATTTTTTATTAACATTTTGAGATACCAATTGCAACAATGATCGGTCTGTTAATTCTATGCTATGATTATATATGTCGTACAAATGATCGCTGTGAAGTATGCCTCTCTGTTTCAATTCCAAATCTGCGATAAAATGAATCTTTTGTTCTTCTTGGTTCAACATATGATCAAATATTGCAAATGATTGAATTGAGCTTTCGAAGAGTTGCTATTGAAGATAAAATAATATTTATCAGAAATGTTGATGTATAATTAAATATATGTCCAATATCTTACCTTTAATTTAAAATCAAAAAATAAAAAGAGCTTAATATTCTTGATAGGTGAATCTGTATAAAATTGTGCTTCAAACTTTAATATATCTTTTTTCCCATCGTTATTGGTATCTATTTCTTGTACCTTAACAAAAAACAATATATATTCTATCATAATTATAAATATGTGATACAGTAGGTACAAACAAATTGGATACTGAACAGTTCACAGGACATATATAAGAAGAGAAAGTACTATGTCTTAGATTTATAGAATTGTATTGTGGTTGATTGATTAATGAATAGATCAGTTAGCAAACATCGTCTTTGAATAAATTATGTTCATTAACCAATACCTACTGTATATGAATTTATAAAAATATTATTAAAAGAAACCTTTATAATTAAACAATCATCGGAAATCTTATTTTCTTTGTAGCTAGTAAAGGTAGAACAAATTATTGGAGCCATTTCTATGCCTCTCTCCATTAATAATAAATATTTATATTGAAAAGATACATCTGGCATTTCTGAATGAATTTTTGTTTTTATCCAAAATCCTAAAAATATACTAATAATGATATTGTTTTCAATGTTGATATTATATTCAAATAAAAATGACATTAAATATTAATACCTCCTGCATTAAACATTAAAAACAATGGAGTAATCATTGACATTATAACAAATAATAACACAATAAAAAAACTTAAAGAACATATTCTAGCTTTATATTTATAATAAATAGAACTTGAAAATATTTCAATCGCAGTCATGTTGAGGTTCGTAGTTTATTCTGTTAATATTTATTCGTTGCTTTGGTAACAACCATTAATGTAGAATTAGTCATAGGTAACAGACGCCATCTTGTATTATGAATACCTACAATTAACTTAATAACTTTATTACTAGGAGCTTAAAAAAAACTTTAATTACTATTATTTTCAATGAAATAAATTTATATATATATATATATATATATATATATATATATATAAATTTATTAAATTTAATATATTTAATAATTATATTAACTTACAATTTTTTTCCTTAGCAAAGAATGTTATTTCTATCTTTCATGATTATTATTATTATTTAAATAATTACTTTAATGGTTTAAATATACTTCCATAATTAAAAAGAAATATATTTAAATAGAATTATCGATTTAGTTTGATTAATATCGTTGAAAAATTTAATCGCGAGTAAGACGATATATACTGGCGGGAAATTTAAATGACGGTTAGTTCGATAAAATTTTCTTAGATCGTATATGAGTACATGACGTGTCATGGCACCTTTCGAGGTCTAATGTTCTTTGCGATATAACGTTCCATGCTATTAACAAACGTGTGTAACAGAGTTACAGGACGAAAATTGTTATGAAGTTATGTGACTAATTATCTGATGTAGTATACAATATACGTTTTTAGTAGACAATAGATACTTTACATTAAAAGTTTACGAATAATGGCGAAAATATTATCGATATGGGTATTGTGTACGCTCCTATGCGTAGTTAATGATATATCAGCATTTTACTTGCCCGGTTTAGCACCAGTGAATTTTTGTAAAAGCGGAGATTCTTCGAAAAATTGTAAGGTATAAGAAATTGTATTTATTTATCCTATTCATCGTATTAATAACAATATTAAACATTATTTTTCTAGAATATTTGGTTAAGATCATCAATTTGCGCTTCAAAATTCTACTTTATTTTAATGTTAAATATCTTATCTTTTTGATAGATAGAATGATATTTCGTAGTATTTGTACTGCTTATGTGATAATAGAAATAAGTTTAAATAAATAATATATATTTCTGACATTTATCTTACCAATTAATACTACTGTCATTTTAAGTTATAACAGTAATAATGTATTAAAATATTTGTTCTTTCTTTCAGTCTGAAATTCAATTATTTGTTAATCGTCTAAATACCGAAAAATATGTCATACCTTACGAATACAATCGGTAAGTAAAATAAAGTAATTTTATTTAATTTAATTTTTTAAATATTATACAGGGTGTCTGAGATTTTTTCAGCTTCTATATAACTTTTTAATGAAGCTTTAGATGATCTATGTTTGTATAACATTTTTTCTTCTTTTTGTGCGTAGAATACACTGACACCATTTGATCAGAAAAACCTCATATATCCTGTATATTACCATCAACTATTTAAATAAATTTTTAAATCAATCTCTTTTTTTCATTTATATCGTATCATTTTAATAAATAATAAAATTGTCTTCATTTAGTTTTGACTTTTGTACTGCGGAGAAGAAAGAATCACCGGTTGAAAATTTAGGGCAAGTTGTATTCGGAGAAAGAATTCGTCCTTCTCCATACAAGGTAAACTAATAACTCCACAATTATTTTTTCTATTATAATATAAATATAATATTTAATATAATATATAAATATATCTCTCTATTTTTTCTAGTTGAAATTTTTAGAACCAGAATCATGTTCAGTTGCTTGCACAAAAACATATAAAGGAAAAGAGGAAGCTTCGGAACAAAAATTGCAATTTCTTAGGAAAGGAATTGCTCTTAATTATCAACATCATTGGATTATCGGTAAATAATCCATGATTTTATTATTATTAAAATTATTATACTTAACTTTTTATTCTTACTTTGTTATTTTTATTGAATAGATAATATGCCAGTCACGTGGTGTTATCAAATACAAGATGAAAAACAATATTGTAGTACTGGTTTTCCAATGGGCTGTTTTACACGGGAATCTCCTGCAGCACAGGATACCTGCAGCATTAATGTATGCATTATTAAATATAACATTCACAAAAACATTTTTTTATTAATATTCATAATACTTCAATACTTTAATATTTTGGATAATTCTGTTATTAGGGTTTATATAGCAAAGGAGGAAAAGCATACTATATATTCAACCATGTCGATCTTAACATAACATATCACAGTGGAGTCAAAGAAGAATGGGGAACGAGTTTCAAAGAGAATGGTGGTCGCATTATCTGTAAGCATTTAAAAATATCATGTTAATATAGCACAATATATAATGTTCGCGAAAAATAATTTTTTTATCGTAAATAAATGAAACATTTTAATTCTCTTTATAGCCGTAAAAGTAACTCCTCGTAGTATCAAACATACTAGTCCCCAAAATCCAAATTGTGATAGCAAAGCAGCTCCTATGGAAATACCCGAAGATCTTCCTGCTGGTAAAACATTGGATATAACATATACGTATTCTGTAAGATTTTCGGTAAGTTTTCTTAACTATATTTATATTATAGAGAAAAAAGAAGTAATAATAAGCGATCATCTTGTTACTATTTTCTGTATAATGATAAAATTACAGCAAGATAATACAATCAAATGGTCATCCAGATGGGATTATATATTGGAATCAATGCCGCATACAAATATACAGTGGTTCAGTATCCTCAATTCATTAATTATTGTCCTATTCTTATCTGGAATGGTGGCAATGATTATGTTCCGTACATTGCACAAGGATATCGTGAGATATAATCAGGTATACACGCATACATACAACATCGTGACAATAAGATACACTAGAACAATGTTTCTTAAAATTTTTTAAATATTATTGTTGGCATTGCGTTAGTATGATTGTTACGGTTCACCTCCCTGGTAAACCTTCACTTTATTTTACTTTTTATTTTGTCTTTTCTTTCTTTCTTTTTCATTTAAAAATGTTTCTAAAGTGAAGAGTTATTCTAAGATAATATTTTTGTATAACATTATGATATCTTTCCGTTTATGTTACGATAATGCAGGCCTACTTCCAGATAGAGTCAGGAGAGGATGCACAGGAAGAATTTGGATGGAAACTAGTACACGGTGATGTCTTCCGACCACCACGTAAAGGAATGTTACTTTCAGTGTTACTTGGATCTGGTATACAAGTATTTTTCATGACTCTTGTCACGCTAGGTGAGAAATATGATATATGATATATGATATATGATAACATTAAATTACCTTAAAATGTTTGTTCATATTATTTTTAAATATAAAAGATAATACAATTTCTCAATCCCTTTGTTTTTATAAAAATGATAACGAGTTATTGTATTGTTCCTATTGATTTCAGCGTTTGCTTGTTTGGGCTTTTTGTCTCCTGCTAATAGAGGAGCACTAATGACATGTGCAATGGTATTGTATGTATGTCTTGGAACAACAGCTGGTTATACATCTGCTCGAATTTATAAGAGTTTTGGCGGTGAAAAATGGAAATCCAATGTATTGCTTACGTCAATGCTGAGTCCTGGGTACAGTAATGTTACTTTATCTATGAAAACATAATGTCTTACATAAACATTTTATAATTGATTTATGAAATGATATATGTGGAGTCTTTGTATTCTGCTATTCTACTTATATTTAATACTTCTTTTATTCTACTTTTTTTATTTCTTTTTATATATTTTTTCTTTATTATTATTTCAGGATTGTCTTCGGTTTATTTTTTATAATGAACTTAATATTTTGGGTGAAAGGAAGTTCAGCAGCTGTACCATTTAGTACTCTTATTGCCCTTTTAGCATTATGGTTTGGTGTATCTGTTCCATTAACATTTATCGGAGCTTACTTTGGATTTAAGAAAAGGGTAAATGCATATGCATGTGTACATTGTATGTAAATTTAAAATTTCAACTAAATATGTTACTCAATGGATAATTTATCATTCCAGTCATTGGAACATCCAGTAAGAACTAATCAAATACCAAGACAAATACCAGAGCAAAGTTTTTATACGCAACCAATACCTGGCGTAATAATGGGCGGTGTATTACCTTTTGGATGTATATTTATTCAATTATTTTTCATTCTTAATTCGCTTTGGTAATTAATATTATACAACTACATTTTATTATTTAACTTATTATTTAAATAATATAATTTGTGTAAAATATGTATATATTTTTTTCAGGTCTAGCCAAGTATATTACATGTTTGGATTTCTTTTCCTAGTATTTTTAATACTTGTGATTACGTGTTCTGAAACTACAATCTTATTGTGTTATTTTCATCTTTGTGCAGAGGTAATAATGAAAAGTTTATTTTTCATTTTTAATCTTTAATATTTTTATCTACTATAATAAAAATTGTATTTGTTTATAGGATTATCATTGGTGGTGGCGCAGCTTTTTAACATCAGGATTTACAGCCTTTTACTTGTTAATTTATTGCGTACATTTTTTCATGACAAAATTAGATATCGAAGATGCCACATCAACGTTCCTTTATTTTGGATATACTCTTATTATGGTCTATCTATTCTTCCTTCTAACAGGTAAATAATATTTATTTATTAAATATATATTTTATTACTATATTATTATACAATAAGAAAAAATGATTAAATATTTTATATTAATGAGAATAATAAAATTTAAATGTTATAGGTTCAATTGGTTTCTTTGCTTGCTTTTGGTTTGTGCGCAAAATCTACAGTGTGGTAAAAGTTGACTAATTAGACAGTTAAATAACCAAAAGTATAAATATTAAAAAATAACCGTGGTACAACAAGATGAAAGGAATGAGTAAAAAGAATGTTCGATAGTACAATGATTATTTGTTATACGCGTATATATAACTTATGTTCAATTTATTCTCGAATCATTCTAATTCAAATATTATTGTGAAAAATAATAACATATTTTGTATTTAACAATAATATTTGATTAAAGATTTAAAACTTTTCAACAATTTCCTAGTAAGCTGTCAAACTATTCGAAGAATAATAAACATCGACTATCGATCATTCTTAAGAAATTTTATACAATTAATATTTGGATGCGAGCAAACTTGCTGCACGCACACCACGCTCTGTATGGGCGTACGGAAATAATAATATATTATTACAATGATATTCTATTTAAAAATTGAATTTTTGTTTTTTTTTTTAATGTCATTAATTTATCCAAACATTTATTGTCTGCGAAGAGAACATTCACTTATAAATATTTGGCCTACAGAAAACTAAGAAACAAAGTTTAAATATACAGGTACCACTGTTCTGTGAAAAAATAAAACACATTGTACTCTTCAATTTAT